AGAATGCTACGGCAGATATATCACAGGATTTGGTAAAATTTTGATTTCCTTATATTACAGTCGGGATTTTAACCTTTTCAAAAATAAGTTACCGCCGATGAGAGGACATGAGTGCCATATGAATAATGGTTCTATTCAAATAACGAAACGTCCAATGTTTCATCCACCCCAAAGTAATATTCGGGGCACCTACCTTTAGCTCACTACATACTACTGCCGATATATTATTATGGTTAATAGAATAGTGCCTCCTATATAAAAGCACTTTGCGTATATTGAAACCCTTCAAATAATCCTGCTCTGGAAACATGCATTCTCATTGCACAACCGTCCTTTGCGAATAAGAATACTATGCAAACGTGAGATGGTTCACATAATATAATTCCAGATGATTCATTCCTCTTATGCAACTGTGCTCTACAGAAAACAGTACTCTGCAAATATCATTTTAGTTTATCCATTAGTACACTCCTATAACAGTACTACGGGAACTTCCACAATGTTCACCATTGGTAATAAATACACATCAGTATCTTTCAGGCAATAGTTTTCCTGGAATATCCATGCACTTCACACAATAGTGCCCCATTACTGATAGCACTCCTGGAATGTTAATACTGCACAAACAAAAGTACTCTTAACATTATAGTATTCTGGGTGTAGCAATATTCTTCAAAGAATAGTATTCCAGGCAATCGACAGGATTTCCAAAATCCCATACGTCATATAATGGAGCCGTTAACCTTATATCGAAATACTTCACATAATGTTACTCCTGGGATAGTTCTACTCATCATGGTACATCATTTCATACATAATAGTAGTTCTCCTCAAATAAAAGTATTATGGTCAAAAAAGGTACTCTTAATATAGCAGTACTCCTTGCGCACTCGTACTGTTCGAATAATAATGTTCCCAGGAGAATTATACTCATCCTTCCATAACCATTCGCATGTAATGGTGCTCTTAGTATAATAGCACTCAGACTTAGCCATATAGTTCAACCATTAGTACCTTCATATAACAGTACTATGGGAACATCTGCACTCTCGACCATCGAAAATGTTCAAACATCAATAATGTTCACGCAATATTTTTCGTGGAATATCCATGTACTTCATGGAATAATGTTTCTCATATAATGAAGGCCTAAACTGTGAATCCTTCGCCTAAACTACTACATGGACATCAATATCCTTCCTATAACAGTATTATACGTACATCCCAGCGCTGCACCCCACTTAGAAGTGCACCTGACTATTCTGAAGAGAATAGTCTCCCAAGTGGGGTTGTTCTCTTCATGTAACGAAACGATAACCATGTCAGTATTTTAGGCAAATGACTATTACGGACACGTCAGTAGTCTCCCTACAATAACACTCCAGACGATCATTACCCTTGACGCGAGTGTGCTTTTCAATTAACAGTATTATACACGTAACACTTCTATTAACCTAATAATACTCCATGAACATCATCACTTCTAAAGCGATAATACACAAGGAATAAGGGTGCCCTTCCACACATCGGTATATTATTTCCTATCTAGTAATGCTACCACATTCCTATAGTCATGATATTTAAACTTCACATAGGTGGCCATCCTCATAAATAGCACAAGAAGGAAATATCTCCATAATGCCTTCACATGGAAAAAAAGAAGAAGGCGGCAATCATAATGTTAGGGAAGAAAGTATTTTGATAGAAGGAAATGAGATACAATACAACATATTGACAATGATGCGGCCTGAGGAAACATCAGCACCATGCTGGGAAAAAGGGGCATCTTCATAAAGAGAATCACACACAAGAAAACATCTTCAGGAGGCAACGGGAGGAGGGGGCATCTATATAAAACAGATGAAACAGAACAATATATTGAACCTACCACTAGGACATAGCATCATAAAGATGCCGCGGAACAGAAATATCTTCATAAGAAGAATACCTCGCGAGGAAATTCCATGGCAGTAACATAATAAAGAGAAAAGGCATTTTCATAGAGGAGTCAAAAAGAAGAATATCATCCATATAACGCGGTACAAAGAATCTTCATAAGAATGCAACCCCAGCAAAAATTCTCATAATGACATGGCCCGGGAAATTTCATCACAACTCCCCAGGACAGGACTATCGTCAGAAAGGAAATGCAGCATACACAAGAATCTTCATAGTGACACAGCGAGAGAAACCATCTCTATAAAAATGGCAAGCGAAAGGATATATTAAAAGTACAACGCGGTAAAATAAATCATAGGAAGAAAGATGCCCCACAAGGAAGATACCTCACAATGACGCAGCATAAAAAAAGAGGACTTCCTAAGAATGCAGTGGGGAATATCATCCTGAGAAAAATGCCACACACACGAACATTTTGATATTGACGCAACAGGAAGGATGTAGCTATGCCAGAATGTGAAAAAAAGGAGCATTATTATAATGACATGCGAGATATAAGAATCCTTAATGGAATGCAAAACAGAGAAGAAGCATCACAGTGCCGCGGCAGGACCGTACAAATCACATTGTGACGTAACACAACAGCAGCGCAATGACCCGCTGGGAGGGCATCATAAGAATGCAGCAGAAAGAGACATCTTCATGAGAGCATTACACAAGAGAAATCGTCATAAGAATGCAGCAGATAAACGCATGTTCATAAGAATGCCAGGTGAAGTGGTATCGTCATAAAGAGGCTCCGGAAAATGTCATCATAAACAAACCCTTCAGGAAAATTCCGTCAGAGGAAGGGGGCAAATAGGTGTATCCTTATGAAACAATTATATAATGAAATATATATAATGAAGTTAAAAGAAACAGCGCGCGTGCAGCGGATATATAATACATGAAACCACCCCCCCAAAAATTGATCCACATGAGAGGACTTCGGCAGGGTGAAGCCACATGAAGCCACTTCCGGGAAAATCAGGCCACATGGACGTGTGTCCTGGTAAATTAGGGAAAATTAAATGACGTTTGCCAAATTACCAGGCGTGAAACTACATTTGCAGAATTACGAAACATGAAGGAGCGTTCGCGAAAATTAGGCCAGATGAAAAGACGGTCGTGAACTTACCCCACGTAAAAGGACGCTCGCGAAATTACCCAACCTAAAACGAAGCACGCGAAATAGCCCCACGTGAAAGGACGGTCGCGAAATTAGCCCACGTAAAAAGAGTTTCGCAAAATTACCCCACATGAGACCACTTTCGCAGAATTACCCCACATGAAACGAGGTTCGCCAAATTACCCCACGTCAAACAACGTTCGCAAAATTACTCAACACGAAACGACGTTTGCGAAATTACTCAGCATGAAACCACGTTTTCGAAATTACCGCACGTGAAACAACGTTTGCGAAATTATCCCCTGTGAAACCACGCTCGCCAAATTAGGCCATATGAACTCGCATATCTAAGGAAGGGGCGCCATGAGTAAATACTCTCATAAAAGTGCAAAAACATGAAGAAACACACTAATGGGAATGATACAGCACGATCCCGCATCCACTGGAACTATGCGGCATGGGGACGGATATGCGAGGAAGTTGCAATATGAATTAAAGGACTTATAAAAATGCAGAAGTATGGAAAAACATACACAGCCACATACAACATGTGGTTGCATACTGGGGAAAATATCAAGACATAGAAGAACACACTGACAGAAGGGAGGAGCCATGAGGATGCATTCACAAAAATAAGGTAATTATAAAAAAAGCCATATAAACCCAACGGCCCACCATTTCACGCTATTCCTCATTGGATGTGGATATCTCTATTATATTGCACTCATAGGAGTTCCAACAGGAAGGAATAAAAATTCTTAAACGCTATAGCAGCCCTCGCAGTTGTATGCAACATACAATTAACGTGCCAACTGTAATTAAAGCTCTTATCATAAGAGTTTAAATTCAATAATATATTACTTCTATATGTGTCTAGATAAAACACTCCATGAGCAGTCATATAATTTTAGCGGTCACATATCTAAGCCAAATGAGTAATCTTCCAATACGAATCTGCATATAATGCTAAGTATTCTTTCTTTCCGCGTAACAATGTGTACCATTGGTACTATTCCTCTTCTTTTTCGTTGTGTTCTTGGGTACCCCTTCTCTGTACAATGCCAGATGTGCTTCATGATTCACGAGGTTAAAACTTCCTATTCCTATGACACATAAACTAATCCCACATATAAGAGGGAAAGAATATACATATATGTCTGTATATGAATGGGTATATGTTCCATGGCCAGGTGTGAAGAGGTCAACAAGACATAGGCTGTTATCAATAAATGGTAGCAATGTATAGAGGCATATAAATTACCTGTATTTCTTCGGCGAATATGCTCTTTATGCCTCTCGGAGTTGATGCATCTCCAGTTGATACTCATAATGTAAATTCGTTGAATACCGCCAAATGAGAAATGGCGTATGTTCTTTTTTAGTTTACTACGATTCATGATATGCAGAATGGAAAACTCCCCTATACTCACACACATTTGTTAATTTCAGTTCCTTCCCATGATTTAATACTGGAATCTTCTCCTAATCCCTATGATCTAATTGCTGTAATATATTATAATTACCCCCACGACTCCTTCACTAATTTTGTCCCCTCTTGTATTATATATATCTGGGGGTAATCACAACCAGATGTTGCATCATTATTGTCCTCATTTCCTGTTGGGTCATGTTTAGTTTTGATTGATATACATTGATTGTGCTGTACGCTATGCTGCCTTATATACGGAGGTAAAACTAATATTTCTCTGTTCTTCTCCTTCGTAAGTTCTGCCCATAGTAGGTAATCCTCATGACCAAATTAAAGAAACCGCGTTAGCATATTCCCAGTATCTAACGGCTTCTTTAACCGGTCAAGAGGAATCCTTAAATAGAATTATTGCAATATCCTGTCTTTTCATCATTCTATTGTACGCTGAAGAATTCTTAACTCTTATTATTCACACTTATACTTAATTCGATTCTGTTATTCCTCTTATTCAGAATTAACGTCCCTCATAATTAATATTAATTTCCTGTAGCAACAGATTCAATGATTGCATTAAGATTGGCATAGGATCCACAGCTCATTTTAAAACTCAATACTCAGGGGGGTATGGTTCTCTCAGAAGATATCAGATTAACACGAGTGAGTCCTCCATCATAATAAGAGATAACTACTGATTTCCTGAGTAAATTATTAATTGAATAATTAGCAGGAATGTCTTCCACAGTTTGTTTCTGATTTGAGGGAATCATGTATTCTGGAAGAATATGGCTTCTTACTTGTGTTTTCACTCCGCCATCATAGTTTTACACTGCAGTGAAGACACATTAATGAAGCAGGTGTCTAATATTGCCAAATGTATCAAAAAGAGGATAAAAAAGAAGAAACCATAATAATTCCTCCAATGCCTCACTCGTCGAAACCACCTATTGAGATATATACGCTAGATATTTATACGTAAATCTTACATATATCAGCCGCCCCACTGAAAAGAAAGCACGCTAAACACATTTTTCAAATGATTCTTTCTAATTGTCACATATTCCTATCAGGAGTTTTCGGGAAATATTTATTCATTTTGCACGATTGCCAGACGAGTCAGCACTTATCGCAATGAACTTTGCTTTGTACATTGTCCACTTTACCAATTTCTACTTTGTACGTGCATGTTCCCAATGACCAAATGAACCTCTCACCCGAAGGAAGGAAGCAGTACAAATTACATTTCAAAAAATCTAAAGATAACAGAGAATTCATATTACATACGGCTAGCGAAGGGGATTCTTTATGGTACAGCTAATTCTTATTTTAACAGTCTGGAAAGATCATGCGCCACAATGGCGTATCATACAACAACGAAATCTAGCTTATATTCGATGCAAATGCCAGAACTATCCACTCCCGGTATATTGGACAATACGACTAGGAACCTAGCCATAAGGAGTATTATTAACAACTTCCCCTGTGTAGTATAGCTCGTATGTCCATTCTGCAACATAACCAATATCAACGCATATGAATAATACATTCCCTCATAAAATTAATTATGCACTTTTAACTTTATGCATATATTCCCGCAAATGTATGGAATCCTGACCTGAATATGAATAACATGTCTTTTACAGTTATCACGACATTACTCAAAAGGGCCAATCGTTGGAAATACTCTACACACACATATGTCATTCTACACCGCAAGATAATGAATGCGCTGGACACATATTATACGACATCTACAAGACAAATTAACGAATAAACTGGAGAAGAACTGCGGAGACTCATGGATTTTTTAGCGATCAGTGATCATTTCGATGCTTATTTGTCTTTATACAAATATTACCATGAATTCGATACATGAAATGAAAAGGATTCCATGTTACCGCAGAATTCTTCAAAATATAGGTTCTCAGCAGACCGAACCAGAGCAATAGTACTTATTGTTCCTTCTACCGTGCATACAACAACGACAATTTGGAATGAAATTTGGATTCAGACAAAAATGATTAAGAAGAATCAGCACCTACCTGGAATTTGACTATGGTTTCATGATCCACAGATTTCATTAATGAAATCCAACTGGAAATATAAAAATTTCAGGAATACGTATATGAGGTAGTTACCTAATCACTCGGCATCCTCATGAAAAATTTGGCTTCAAATAACTCATAAGAAATAATAATAGAGCTTGGGAAATTTATTTTAGTCACACATGATGGTATTCCATATACAATGGAGTACGCTTAAGAAAGAATTGCTAAATTGCCTAAACAGACATTAGGTGACGTTTCTTTTTCTGACACAATACGGTTATGTCGGCATTCGTAAATAGATTACACACTGGAGGCCATGGCGACAATAGAATAAACAGTTGTTTCCTTCTATTGTTCCATACACTTGTCATTATTTATACTACTGGTACGATTTTCTCAGGAAAATTTGGCTTCTTACGCGATCACTATTGCATATACAAAGTGCTACACGTTTCCTTCATATGTACACACTCTCAACCTCTTATAATTTAAGAAAAGAAACAAAAGCGTCATAAGGCTTAATAGTTCTTGTTAATAGTTACTTCAACTACATGTAC